AAAAATGAAAAACTATAAGCTATATCTTATTTTGTTTCATAAATGCAAGAACCACATGGAAGTCTGGTTTAAATAATATACAGTATTTTGTTGTAAAATTACATAAATTAATAAGCTCTGTAAGAAAGTTTCATTACATAAATAATAATAATTTCTAAAGCTATTTCATTCTATCATTTATATATTTGATTTAAAATTATTTTAACTGCCACTGTGTGTGAGCAATTAATTCATATATATAGACGGCTTGGTAATCATTACAAATAAATTTTTGAGCTGATGAAAATTTTAAAAAAATAATAATAACACTGGTTAAAGGAAATGCAATTTGACTACCACTAGGAAAAACGTTCCTCAAAAAGTTCAAATGATTGCAGCTACAAATGCGTCTTTCAAAATCAAACAATTAGGACCATGAAATTGAAACAATCACTTTTTTCATATTTCTGACAGTATCTTAACTGTCGCGAAAAAATTTAATAAGATAAAAGTTCATTCAATCAATTTTTTTGTAAAAGTCGTGACATTGATTCATCGCTGATTTAATACCATCCGACGAGGCTATTGATGGATATCTCCCTATTAATAAAGAATAAAAAATAAAAAACTTTTATTGACTTCCTTTCCCGGAGGCAACTTTAAGTGTCATCTTCTCAAATTCAGTTCTTTTTTCATATATTTCTTTTTTTTTTCCCTTGGCATCATTTTGAAGGAGTTCACTTTTTCTCTCCAATTCATTCTACACCGCACAACACCCCTGCCATTCCCGTAGTCCACCAGTGCATGAAGGACACATGAGAATGATGTGTGTGGTGTTTCTTTTTTTATTTTTTTTATTACTATTATCGCCAAATAAGTCTCCATTTTGGGTAGTCTTTCTTTTACTTCTGACAATACTATCCCTCCGGCTGAGCGATACAGTTCTTTTCGGATCACCAATTTATATGATGGCTACAGTGCGCCATCAACTGTTACGCCAAGTTTCTCTTTTTTCCAGGTATCGCTGACATGATGATCCATAGGACAAAAAAAAGGGAAGGAAAAAAATCTCACACAGGGAAACTTTTCAGCAGTGAGGAGTTAAAAATAGCAAGTCCCATTCTTGAGTTTCGATGGATTTTTCATTTATTTATTTATTTTTTATTTACGGTCCATCGCTGATATAAGAGTATACCGTCCTTTTGATACATATTAGTATGGAACCGAATAGATTACAGTTTGATAAATCTGTTTACCAGTTCCTACTAGTAAATTGGTTAATTTATCGAATAGATATCACGATGAAACATAATCATATTTGTTTCAATATGCATCTTTCATTGCTATTTGAGACTTACCACTACGATGAAGTAATAAGGATTTAAATTTTATTCTGTCAAGTAGAAAAATTAGAGTTTCTCTTACTGTACGTTTATTGTTTTGTTAACTACTTGAGGAAGAACTTAATAGTAATAATGGCTAAGCATTGTCACTGTGGAAACATAGTAACGAGAGCATCAAAATTAACATAACTATGCGAAAAATTCATATTTATGTCAGTTATCTGTTTAATCTAGTATCACAATTATTCCGTTCTCTGAAAGAAGAGTGTGTAGCGAACGTACAAAGTAACTACTAGAGAGGCCAAAGCTTATTGAAACGGTTAAGGCGTCATTCTTTAGCCCTGCTCATTCGAGGTTCTGCTTTCGCATCTGCTTTTTCTTCTAAGAAAACTGTGAAAATGAAAAAAAAATCCGTTGATTTTTCGTGCCTCGAGGTCAAAATTAAGTAATTAAATTTTAAGTTCTCAAAGCAAAATTAAGATATACTTGTATTTTAATTAAATTTTGACCTCATTTAGGCAGTTTGCAAATCACACAATTTATGTCATTCGAAAACAAGATAGTTTATGAAATAATAGTTGAAATAAATTAAGAAAAGCATTTTCTTTCAAAATTTAGTATCATTCCGTTTCGTAAACAGTTTCATTTGCATCTACCAAAACAATATATTTTTACATGCGGAAAGTAAAAGTTACCATGTATAAAATTCTTTCTGATTTGGAATGCCTCCATCGTATCAGAGAGACATAAAAATTGATGTTACCCAGACACGCTTGAATGAAGTATATAGTAAAATGGCGAGCGGAAGCGTTGAGGAATTCACATAGTGGGCAACAGTTTAGTGAATTTCGAAAAAAGAAAAAAAAATTAGTCAATCTCTGGTCTTTAAAGATAAATCTGTAATTTCCTTGACATCCAGGAAGTCCCATGACTATCCAGTGGTCTTGCCATTCGTGGNCGCGTAAAGGAAAAATTACCATGTATAGCATTCGTTCTGATATGGAATGTGTCCAATCATTCCGTTTTTTATCATTCCGTTTCGAAAACAGTTTTATTTGCATCTACCAAAACAATATATTTTTACACGCGGAAAGGAAAAATTACCATGTATAACATTCTTTCTGATTTGGAATGCCTCCATCGTATCAAAGAGACATAAAAATTGATGTTACCCAGACACGCTTAAGTGAAGTATATAGTAAAATGGCGAGCGGAAGCGTTGAGGAATTCACATAGTGGGCAATAGTTTAGTGAATTTCGAAAAAAGAAAAAAAAATTAGTCAATCTCTGGTCTTTAAAGATAAATCTGTAATTTCCTTGACATCCAGGAAGTCCCATGACTATCCAGTGGTCTTGCCATTCGTGGGTGGTTGACGTCCAGTTATAGACTTAAACACGTTTATCATTCTTCAAACTTGATGAATGACTTTCTTGAGACTCACTGATGCATTTTAATCACATACATTTTGGCTATTACTGTATGTTTACCGAGTCTACTTTTTTACTTAAATTTTAAACCCTCTCGACCTTTCTAGTTGATGTAACCTTGCGAAATAACTTTTATTTTCGTAGGTGACTCTCTTGAGTTGTTCCTCCTGTGTCATTGTCAATGCAATTGAATTTTTCTAAAAAATGTGCTTCGTTGTCAATTGGAAGTATCCTACAAATGACATTGATTATATTTTCACATGTATTTGACTTATCAGTGTCTTTTTAATTTTTATTTGAATAATTATTACCTTAACTCTTTTGACAAGTAAATTACTGTTTTGCAAAAATACAGTAATATAACATGTATGCAAATCGGGTTTTTCTAATTACATCAATATTATATCTCATACATATAAGTTTCTGTTTTGCTAATTACAGAAATAATTTATTGAATATTTTAGGTATTATGACATAAATGTTTTTATGGGACTTATTAGCGTTGTAAAACAAGGAGGCACTGATGAGTTACTCATAACTATATTCGTGAGTATTCAAAATTTGCAGATGATATGACCTGCACATGAAACTTTAAGCAATATGCAAGCATCTTAGAATACACCCAGTGTGTAAATAAAATAATTGTTTGATTTGTGATAATTTATAAGATTTGGAAATACTAGAAGTACTAAACATTTGTTATATTTTTTATAATCAATATAAAATTATTTTATAATCAATATAAATTATTTTATAATATTTATAAATTATTTCAAAATAATTATTTTATAATCAATATAAAATTTTAATATGGTACCAATCATGCAGTTCTAATTAGAAATTGTGTTAGAATCAGCAAGAGTGATATATTTAATTAAAAGCGAGATAATGTTTACACTCTGAGTAAATTATAAACTTGTTTATAGTAATAGTTATAATTTTGTACAAAGATAATGTTATTCAAATAATTGTTATAAATTTGATTGAATGATATATTATTATATAATTTATTAAAGTAGTAAATTTAATATGCAAAGCTGCAGTATTTAAATTGTACTCTCTATTTTAATTCAAAGTGCTCTCCAACCTTTTAATCACAGTAGACCGGCCAAAGCTTGGTAATTTTACCACTGCCCGCTAAGGAGAAGGGGAGTTAATTGGTTATATTTTAGATTGTTTAGATTTAATAATTTTTATTTAATCGTATTTAAACATGCCTTCAAAATGTAATACAATTACATGCATCGTATTGATGTGGCTCTAGATGATGTTTCTCATTTCCCGGTTAACTTCTCGTAAATGGAAATTCGTACTTTCCAGATAGAAATACACTACAGTAAATAAAATGGAAATAAGGTCTTCCCTGGCCTGCCCTGTACCATTTGATCCATGAACCGCGGGTTGGAAACCACTGCCATAGAACATATAATCGCATTAAAAATCTGCTTTAAACTAATTCTAGATAAATAACCTAGTATTTTAAATTACTTCTATTTACACAAGCTTCTTACGCAATAAAATATCTATGACTTTTATGTGGAATTGAAAAAAGCAAATGTGTAGCCTTGTGGCAAAAATGTAAACCTATGGCAATTCTAAATTTATTTTTTTAAATTATTCTGTAACAGGTATCGGGAACACTCTGCTGTGATTTGAAGAAATTGTATCAACATTTATTCACATTCTTTTCTGGCAATAGAGAATAGTTTAATATTATTATTTGTTTTTGCACGTCAATACAGTTTTTTTCTAATTAGTGCTAAGCAATGAAATAGTCAGAAAAAGTCTTTTTGGACTTTGTTGATGTTTCTTTGCTAAGCAAGAAATTAACTTCAAAATTGTTGATAATCAATGGAATTACCAACGAAGAACTCGCTCTAAACACTAGAGAGTGTTCTCTTGTTAGTCAAAAAATAACTTTCCAATGTTCTTTTCAATTTATTCAATAGTATAACTTTTTCGCATGTTTCTAAAATATTTAAGAAAAATTGACCTACCTTTTATTTCAGAATATCATACAAATCGTACTTGGTAGTAGGAAATCAATAGTTTAAAGATTTAAAAAACTTATATAATCCATTTTGACAACTAAATTCTCACTCCTGGTGGCGGTACAGCTACAGTATAAAATATTTATTTTGAACTTTTGCGATTATAAATTTGAAGTAAAAATTGCTGACCTAGCAAAATCAAATAAAATTATATTTTAAAATATATTTTACGATAAAATAATTATTTCTTTACTTTCAGAATAGAGTGAAGCTTTCCGAAAAATGGACTCTCATATCACCAGATCAAAATCATATTACCACAAATGAGCCTTCAAAGCAACACTCATGTGAAAACCGACAATATGTTGCTGAGAATTTTGATTATGTTTCAATACCACCAAGGAAGTTAACTTGTGGGAAGTCGGATGAGCAGTGCAACACTGAAGGAGCTATCATTGAATCTGATGAAAACATGGACAGTGGTCGTAAACAAAGTTCCGAAACAAAGCATTGGTAAGTCTAATTTAATTTTCTTTCATTCCACTAGTGGTAAACAAAGCCATTCTGTAGCATGAAATGCATTTTTATTACAAATACATTTTAACTCTATTGCTAATGTTTAAAACATTTACAGAAATTAATAATGGATGAATTTAAATACTTTAACGATAATTTTTAGTAGAATAAGTGTAAATAATTATACGAGCTTTAATAAACTGCTTACAGTGATTAAAAACAAGAAAAAATTGCTGATATATTGATTAGATTTCGAGCTCTAAGATGCAATTTCAATGTTTTCAGAAGCATAACGTATGAAGTTTTGTAGTTTGACATGAAACCGTATATTCTCTGAATAAGTACACCGGTTTTGATAAATTCGGACACTTCAAAGTTGTCTCTGAATTTTTTTTTAATTCACTAGATTAAATAATAATTTAAATTTATCTAACCTATTATATTATCAGAAACATTGAGTTGCTTTAAAAGAGCTTTTTTTTTCATCAATGTTAATTAATTCTTTGAAATCGCAATAAAACTCTACCTCGCAGTTGACCTGAATTTAATATTAATTGATATAAATGTGTATTTAATCTGATTCTTTTGAAAGTATTAAAATGCAGTAGATACCTGCTTTTAAATTTTTTTCATGCTAATGCTACGCGGAAAAGTTAAATTTATGAGGTTACTGCACTATAAATTAGTGTTTAAGGCATAAAACATTTAATTTTTTTGCTCTTTTCTTATCAGAAATCAAGTTTATTTCTTTTAACTTAAGAAATGTAACATTTTTTTATGTGCCTCAATCATTAGATTTGTATTATCATTCTAATATATTTATTCATTTGACCTCTAAAAGAGTTATTTTTCCGGTAAAAAACCTGCCCCGTATCTAATACGTCAAATTTTAAATTATTCAAGTAGATCACATCAATGATAGATCATTTTTTAAATATGAGTTGAAGATGGTACTGAATAATTTTTATCTTCGCACACATGGTAGTTTTATTTAATCTCAATAATGTAGCAAACGCAGATTCATTCATATATGCAAGTTGAATGAAAAAGCTTTTATTAATAATTGTCTGTCTAATACATATTGCGTTTTTATAAAACGATATATTTTAATCTGAAAATTGAGTTTTAGAATTGAGTATTATAATTCAGTTGCCAATATCTTTAAGGTAGCGTTTGTTCATATTACGTCATTGATATTTATTTTATTCCATGAGTAAAATGTTTTATTTACTGAAATTATGAAACTTTAAAATTTAAAAATTAGCCCTGTTAAAAATTCTTAATAAATATTACTTAAAAAAGATAAATACTTTGCACACTACTATTTAAAAATTATGCTTCGGCCGCAAAATACTATGCAAAATACTTACTATGTGTGTATAATACAAATTTGGTGTTGTACATGGTGTTGCACTTATAAAAGTGTGGTAAGTTAAGCATTTATATCTGACTTCATGAAATTATAATAAGTGTCTTTTGTTATTATTCTTATATCAATTTTGACTTTAAAGTTTATTAAAGGCATTTAGCATTCACTCGGTAATATGTGATCTTTATGATGCAGATCTAAAAAACGCTTAAATTTTTTAAGAGAAGTTTAAAGTTCATTATTTATTATAAATATTCAAAAAATAATATTTTTTTTAAAGTCGAAGTGTAAAGAAGCAAATCTTGGGGGTGTAATTAAAAATTATTTTCAGAATAAGTCAGAACAAATATAGTATCATTAAAATTTAAATTCATTTGTTTGACGATATGTACAGTGCGCAGAAAAAAGAAAGATATCACCTAGACTAACTTTTGTTCTAAAGATCGAATTTTCACGTGTTAAGTGTCACTCTTAATAGTTTCTGGACCAAACGGGACCAAGTATTATATTACCGGGTACTAGTGTACCCTACCAGAGGAAATAATTATAGGCCTAAAATATGCAAATCATTTATTTCTTATAATCAACTAAATAACGAGATTAGACACAAAAACGCACTTTCTATGAATAAACATAAATTTTTTACAACATATTTGGATTTTTGTCCTTCAAAATATAGGGGGTAGCTGCAATTCCATTAATGTTAATTTCACTTTCTGTTTTTTTAGTTACATCTTTAAAACTAATTGAGCAATTTCAAAAAATTCAAAATTCAATTTCAAAAACTTATTTTCCCAAAGATAATTTCATGCAAACAGTAATTATTTATTATTTTTTATTATTTAATTGTGGATGAAAATAGTTTGAATTAAGAGGCATAAATTGTTTGATACCATATAACTCTACGTATTCGTATATTGCAAAATCTAAATTTTAACTCTTTTTATTCAGTAGAAGCTGGGAAAATTAAAAATAATTATTTTTAAAACCTAATTCGGTGACTATCTAGAATTATTTAAATGCGACGATTAATATTTAAATGTGGTTAAGTGGTTAACTTACGAGTTCTGGCTTACGCACTCGTGGCGTAAAATTTCATTCATATTTTTTCCGCTGATAGTCGAATGTTAATCTTTTTTTTCTTCTTTTTTTTTTTTTAAATTGGGAAATACGATGTTTCTTTTTCAATCGTCTGAAACTTTATTTGTAATTTATCAATGAGATTTTCATAGAACATTAATTATATTCAACGAACCTTTATAAAAATAGGTTAAATTTTAAATAGGTTCGTTGAATAATTTATACAATTTCAATAATTCACATATGCATGCATTGACTTAAAATAATATATTTATCAATTTCTTCAATATATATTTCATAATTATCACGTAATTCCAACTTAAATGAAGATAAAAGTTTTTATAAAAGATGTTATATATTCTTGAATAAAATCGTAATATAGAAGATGATTAAGAGAAATCGTGTTTTAATATTTCATGTCACTACAGAAAGTTGCCACCGAATTCGTAGCCAACATATTTAATCATCTTAAAATTTTTCAACATGTTATAGATCGTCTGAATCTTAAAATAAATTTTTAATTACCTGGCAGCGCGTGCTTTACGTAACTATTTTACCAACTGTTTAATTATATTTTTTCATTTTTCGAAATTTGATTCTTTACGTTGCCATATTTTTCAATAATATACTAATTTATTTCTTAGCATTTTAATTTAGGTTTTTCCTTCAATTAAAGGCCCGTTTATAAAGTATTATTAAGTTCTTAATAAAAGAAAGCTTAGAATTGTTGATAATTAAACTTGTAAAGAAATTTACAAAAAAAACGTTCTGCTGGTTTAAAATTACTCGATGCAAGGCAGCTATTTATTTACATAGCGTACTATTTTTTCTAAAAATGAAGATAAATTATTAATTGTTTTTTATTTTTTCTTATTTAATTGTGTAATTAAAAGTAAATACATACGTGTGCTGTGCAAAAAATACAACAGGTTGCGTTGTTTTTTAAAAAGACAAAAAATTCTGGAATTACTATTTTATTTTGACGTAGAAACTTATTCTCTCTTACTAATTCAAAAAAAGTTGCCCTTTTAAAAAATATAATAATGAAAAAATGTACTTCAAAAGTTATTATTATTTTTGAATATTAATGCAATTCACAAAATATTGTTATATCAAAAAAATGTGCGATATTCCTTATTTTGCTAAATAGCAAGCACTAAAAATAGAAAATTGTAAAACAAGTTAAAAACCGTGCTGTTTTTAAAATTATCATCTCAAAAAAATGTTCTTTGTCTAACTTTAGATTTTTCTTAATACTAAAATAAGGTATATTAAAACATTTTTTGACTAAAACTTATTTTAGAGGTTGTAATTTGTATGTTAAGCAAATAGTTTTAGCATATTTCTTACCTTTTCAGAAATTATATACAAAGAAATATTTCTTATGCTTTGCCGTAAGGAGACAGAAATGTGAAAATTTCATTGATGCTCAATTGAACCGTGTAAATGATTTAATTATCCGCAGAATTGAAAGCTGTTTGCACAAAGCATTTTATTGCTTGAAACAGTTAGAAATAAACTACTATTTATCTAAACAGATCCCTTTATTTTGTTGAGAGCGGCGGGAAAGGTGACCGAAAGCAGGAAAAAAAAAACAATATAAATAACCATTATAATATTTATATATTAAATCATATAATTTCAGTAATTGTAAGCAAAAAGAAAAAAATAAAGGGTGCATAAAAATAAACTCCATCGAAATATGCTCTGACGTATAAACTAAAATATAACTAAATTTTAGATCATTTTTTGGAAATAAAAAATACATTTTCGAAAAATTTCGAGTTGAACGGAGACATTAATTTGTTTGAAGTAATAAGCCTTGTAACTATTTAACTTCGAATTCCTGGGGAGGGGGGTCATTCTATTGTCTCATTCGACTTTTGAAATTTCAATTGTAGACGGAATCGTTTGACACCCTTCAAAAATTGTTCTTAAGATTAGCAGTCAAAAATAAATGTGCTGCATTGATTTTTTAGACATTTATGACTAATTTTACATTATTATTTTTTCGGTTTAAAAGTCATAACCATTATCTTTTGAATAACTTGTCTTAATACTGGGTTCAGTTTTTTAATTTAATAAACTGCGTACTAGCACGCAAAAACTCACGTCACGAAGTCATTCATGTTTGACGAACCTTGAGAATAGGCGCTTATTTTTAAGCGCTCTAAACATGCAAACTTTCATTTCCATCTCCATTTTTTGATGAAAATGCTTCGTGCGCTCAGAAATAGGCACCCACTCTCAAGATTCGCCAGACGTGATTTTATTTTATTTAATAACGGCCGTTGAACAGCCGACTAATATTTGGATTTACGACTACTAATGTTTAACTCCGTGGAAACCAATTCCTAAGACAAGGGAACTCCTGGATCAAGTATCGACCGAAATTTGCCTTCGTGGCTGACTTTTTAAACTAACCCACATTTGCGTTACATGGCTTAGGAAGACCCCATGGTTAACCTGACGTTAAGGGGACTCTAACCAATGATCTGTCTCTCACTGAGGATATTTTGCGTCAGCATTGTGGTTGGTGCCAGCCAGATGTGGAATTCGTATCGATCAGCCATCGCTGGGATTCGACCTTTTTTACCTCATTGGAAAGCGAACGCTTTGTTTCCTGAGCCATCATGGCTCGCCAGGCGTGGTTGAGGAAAGCCAAGTAATTTGAAAATTTTTTTAAAGTTTCTAAAGAAAAATGGAAAATTAAAGAAAAAAAGAAAAAAAAAAGAAAAAAAAAGAAAACGAAGTTCGAAAAACAGCGGTAGGCAAGAATGAAACTGCGAATGAATACGTTACTTGTGTAAACTAGGCTTCATCGGGCATGAAAGACACGCTTTAAAATTTTGACTAAAGGAACATGGTAGATAAGTCCGTTATCAAGAATGTAATCAAACACATATTGCAGCACATTCCTGGAATCGAGAGGAAAAATTCAATGCCTTGTCAACTTTAGTTGCATCAAACAAAACAGACGAGGTTTAAAATTTTGACTAAAAGAGCACAAAAGACATATCCATTATCAAAATTGTGGTAAATCATCAATTTCCGCACATTCTTGGAATCCTGGGCATGAATTCAATTTCGATAACGCCAAAATTCTTGCCATGACAATTCTTCCCTGTCACATCAGCTCATGTTGATGCCTGAGAATCTTGATTTATTCATAATGAAAACAGATTCCCTTGTTAATGACATGAGTTCTTTACCAACTCTGCATAATGCGAAGAAATGCATTCTGAGCATTTGTCAGCAATCTGAGATTACTCTAAAAAAATCAGCTCAACGTGGAACTAATATATATAGCACTTTTACTGCATTAATTTATAATTTGAACCTCTTAATACCGTGTAATCAAGTATAAGATTTCTATTTGTATGATTATGTGATTCAACTTGGCACCGTATTAAGGTTGTTGCAAAAATGCACACTATTAATGTTCAATATACTTGGAAATTTCTAGCATCGTCTGTATTTAAAAAATTCAGTTATCATTTTAATTTATTGTAAACGTTTTATATGGTATCATGACTTTTGTATCATATTTTTATAGCATAAGTCCAGAACCAAAGAAAGAAAGTCGATTAACCTCCATCATCGATCAGCTAAGAAATAGTAAAACAAAGGATGCTACTTTGCCTGATATAAAAAATAAACAAAGTGATACAAATTCTACATTGTCAGTGAAGAATCAAATTGAAGAAAAAGGTAAGTCATTAAATTTACTTGTTTCCATATAGAGCCAACCAACTAATTAGAAGGATAACAATTGAATAGAAAAGATAATTATTATTAAAATTATTAACTATTTAGTTTTAATTTTGTGTACCATAAGTAAAATGGGAAAATTGTGTTTTTAAAAAAAAGGTAACAGAGTAGTTGACCTTCTGAAAACAAACTGGTTAATAAATACATATACTTAGTACAGTTTAGGGCAGGTTGATCCAAATTGTAGAACATCGGCGTTGTTTCGTAACAAACCATACTTTAAAATTGTTCCAGTTGTTTCTTTTAAAAAATCATCAGAAAAATAACAGAAAAAATATAAAACCTTGATGAAAATTCTGGCGAAGACACTGAAAGGAATATCATCACTGAGTGAATAAAAAGTCAGTTTAAGGTTTTTTTATTTATTTATTTTTTTTTTTTACTGATTTTGATGGAGGACAAAAACTGTTGTTATTGGACATGTCTATTGTTTGAGAGAGATCCGAACAATCAGGCGGCTGTAAAGCGGCGCTGAGGAGCCACCACTGAGAAAGGCATTTTCTTTTCGAAACTGAATAAGAAATTTCGATAAATAGGGAAAATATTGTTTCTCGGAGACTACTTCCCAAGGCATGGTTGCTTCTTCAACCCAACCAGCCCAAGCGGAAAACTCGAAACTCTCTAGTGACATCAAACAAAACTCCTGTAACTACCTCATTCGTTACGGATGCGAGGAAAACATCTTTAATCCCCAGACTGGAGCATCAGGATAAAAATATAGAGTCACAGATTTTGTACGTCATTCTGGAGACGAGGATGTGATGGTTCCGGTCGGAGAGTCACAGAAAATATGATATGCGAGAATTTAACGTGAATTGATAGTGTTTAGTGGTCATCGTGTGATTGTACTCTTCGCGAGGAAAGCTTGATTGGTGCTTATACTAGGGTTTGTTTTTGCTATGAAACTAACCTTCTTAACGAACTTCTAACGAACTAACCTTCTTAACGTTTATTTGTCCAACTAAATTTTTTCAATAGGTTTTTACTTTTGGAAAAGTCAGAGAAAAAGCAAGTTACGACTAAAATCGAAACAATGACTAAACCACACGTATCAATCAAAGAAGCCGACAAAAAGGTGCAACAGCAACTGGTACACTGAGAATTTCCAAGCAGCAAGCCTCTTTAAGAAGGAAAGTGTAAAAATTGCAATATGTGCAGTTTCAAATTGCTCAAACTGTCTCAGAGACCCGATGTCAGAAGTATCATAAGAAAAATTTAACTTAGAAGTTCATCAACTACATGGTACTCATCCATCTGTTCTACTTTTTTAAGCTCTTTCCTTCATATCTAGACCCCTTCATAATCAATGCCTTGGGAATAATTCATGATGAATGCCTAGTATTAGATTTTCGTACAATTCGATATGTTGAATACAAAATAACTTCAATAAATTTTAAGAATTATGTTTCCTTTAATTAACTACCTAAAATTTAAAATATTATTTTTAATATTTTACTCAAATCTTAAATATTACTTATAATTAATTACTTAAATCTTAAGTATTACTTTTAATTACTCATTTTCAGACATTTTTATTGAAATCGTTTAATATTTTAGAAGTTTCATAAAGTACCCACTGCATATTTTTTTTAATGTTTAACGTTCACTTTAATAAATCTCTAACAAAAACTATTTATCTTTCATGCATATTAAAACATTTTTGCGTGAAAAAATGCCTGATTATGTTGATTTTTTTGATGTTAAAAATTAACAGTTACGTTTTCAAAGATTGCTACTAAAATTTTGTTAAAAAGAAACTTTATTTATATTTTATTAAGCTGTGAGCAAAATAACAAACTGTTGAGACATATGGTCTTTCTCACAAAATATTTATTTTCGAAGGAAAAAAAAAACTTCGCTTCTGTGTATCCTTTCCAAAATATACATTGTTGTTTTTTATGTTTGAAGCCAATGTTTAATTCTTAGCATTTTTGATACGAATATGCGAGATCATTTTTGAGAACTGATTTGATCCCCAAGTTGTTGCCTACCACTTTTTATCTAACACAGAAGGACCCTATCTCTTGATTAAAACCATTCTGATATAGAATTTCGCCTACATAGGTCCTAAATTATGCCCGTGTGGGTTTAGTTAGTGGATAAGGACTGCACAAAGGTCCTGAACTCGGTAGATAAAAGGTGTAATCTGCTGATTTTGAGTTTGCTCTTCCCCTTCAAATGCAAATACTACTCTAAAGGCCCTAACTCTCAATAGCGCCCACCCATGGTCTTAAACGGGAGTACTTCGTTCTCATGCTCAAAGATGCTTTTCCACTGTTGACTTTCATTTCGGAATGGATTTTTTTCTTTATTAAATACTTAACTCAGTTTGCCACTAACTTCAAACGTGAGTGTCAAGATCTCTTCAGTCCATTGTTTGTATCGGGCTGAGTTTAACACCAACGGAAGTGTATTTACTCTGAGCGTAAATGGGTTTTATTTACCCTTGAACACGGATATGCAGTTATTTACAAATAGGGAAGTGTTTTTGATAATAAATCAAGCTGAAAAATAATAGCCGTAAAAAAATATTTAATTACAAAATTACATTTTTAATAGCAATAAAACATTTATTGGTGCTGAAATTTTTACCATTCAGATATTACTAAAAATCAAAATTTTTTAATTTTCGCATGCCATTTATTTAAAACAAAAAGCGAACTTAATAGAACATGAAATTTGCAGCTTTTGATTAATACTTTTGATTTTATGAAAAACTGTTACCTGAAACCTACCACAACATCTCCAATTGCTTAAAAAGAATTTTATATTGCCAGACTGAATTTCATATTTGTCATGCTTAATAAAAATTAATAAATTTGATTTATAAAAATTTGGCTACAAGATGCAAACAATGATGCAATATAAAATCTTACAGTTCAACGAAAATATTCTGAACTAAATGAAATGCTGTTGGCGGGATAAAATTGAGTGCTACAAAAAGCTTTATTACAAAAGCCTCACAATAATGAATTCATCTCTCTCAGTAATAAAATTCCTTATGTTTCGGTGTTTTTTTTTAAATTAAAAGCAATTTTTTTTAACTTTAATTCAAATTTATTTTCTAGAAGTTTAATTTTCCATGGTATAAAATGCTCAGTTGTTTTTCAGTGAAACAGCTCTAAATATAATTAATTTGATCGCAGAATGTCAGTGTTTGGCCCACGCGTTATGGAATTTTTATTTCCTGCTGTTAGCCCGAGCCCCCGAGGTATAAAACCATTATAATCAAAAAAAATTTCGAGCAAAATATTATCGATTATCTGTCCTACAATTATGAGATTGGTACAAATTTTTAACTATTAACAATAATTTAAACCATTCTCTCATAAAATTTTGTTTCAATGTAGTCGCGTGTGTCGTGAAATTCTAAGTTCATTCATAAATATCATTGAGAAAACATCAACACTTACAATAGCGAATTAGTATAAATATCATGATTAATAATTTTCTAGTCTGTATCCGGAAACACTCTATTACCGTGTATTTTTTTCAAAGAGCAAAATCCGAAGGGACAAAAATAAATATAAATGTTCTTTGGAAATTTATTCAAAATATACTTCCTAAAACTAAACAGCGCTATTAATTAAGCTAAATCACGTTTCATCGCTTTTTTAAAATAAGCAAATGTTTTACATATTCTAGAGCCTTCACCATTATTAATTAGTAGCCGATACTTCCGTTTCTAAGAAATAAATTTAGAGACTTTTAGCAAAATTAGCATAATCTAAGTTCATGTTATAGCTTGTTTAACTCATCGATTTGTTTATCAAACATATGGAAATGACCGGTGGTTCTTGCTTTTAATGACATACGTCAGTCAGGACCTATCGTGATGAATATGTGATCTTAAGGTTTGATCTTTCTCCACTGGTGTGACCAGTATTCAAACGATTGGAATAAATATATATATTATTTTTATGAACGTTTTCTTCTGCAAAAACAATGCTTAACTTTGACTACAGGAATAAATGAAGCGTTGGAAATATCCTTTAATGTAAAATAGTTATGAAAATATATAGGTTTTGATATAATATGTACCGTTATAAAAAAGAAAGTTTATATTAAATTGTATTAAGAGTTTTGAAATATTTTTTTAAAATTTTAAAACGAATTATTATAATATCATGCACTTTGCTTCCCACGGTTGGTGGTATTAAACATTGTGTAATTTTGTTTGAAGGCTTTTAATACACTGGCCAACAAATATAGTACGAGGGTTGCTATTTATATTTCTGGCCTAATAATGAAAAAACAAATATGTAGGATCGAAATTGGTTTTATTGTTTTTCAAAATATTCTCCATGATGATATATACACTTTTGCATGCGTTTGAACCAATTTTCAAAGCACTTTTTCCAGTCCGATTGAGGTAACTCCAAAACATGCGTTTTGAATGCATCAACCGCTTCTTCGGGGTCGAAAATCGTTGTCCACGTAATTTATTTTTGATGTATGGGAAATCAGGGCTGTACGGCGGATGACCCATCAGTTCGATCTTTCGCTCCGTCAGAAATGCCTTTGTTTGAGTCGATGTGTGAGAGCTCGCATTGTCATGATGAAGAATGATTCGCCTGTTCTTCTGCTTTTTTCGAATTTCTCCGATGACTTCTGGCAAACAAATGGTCGTGTACCATTCAGAATTGACCGTCCTGCGTTGCTCTAACGCCACTGTTGCCACATGACCGTTAATGCCGAAGAAACAGGCAATCATTTGTTTCGATGTGCTTCTTCCTCGAACAACTTTTGTTGGTTTTGCCTCGTCTTGGAAGACCCATACAGTTGATTGCTGTTTTGTTTCCGGCTCATATGCATAGATCCATGATTCGTCACCTGTGTAGATGTTATACACAGCCTTTGATGTACCTTGAACGTATTTTTCCAACATTTCCTTGCACCAATCGACACGAGCCTTTTTTTGAGCGTTTGTCAGATTATGC